GTCCTTGCGCTTGTGGCGTTCCCAGCCTCGGGAGAGCATTCCGGCGCCATTTAAGTGGACATTAGGTGTGCCCCCCCCCCAGCAGCATTTCTCATCTGTCTGAATGATTCTTTTACTTCAGAGATTAAGGTCAGGAACTGCTGAGTGCAGAGGGAGGGATATCAAAAGAGGTGACCGGGCAGGAGGACAGTCAGCACCGGGGGGGGGGACGCGGGGGCCGGCCAGAGCCCACCTCCATGGACGTGTGGCCCGCGGCGGCCTGCTCCCAGTTAGCGCTGCGTCATGGCTGCCGCTAATGTACGCCGACATCAGGGGACAGACCCCCCCAGGAGGCAGAGCGACCGGCGAGGGTCCCGGGGCCTGGCCGTGGGGGGGGGGGCAGTGGCTGCTGATGATGTGGGCTGATGATTTAATGAGAAGTGGTGCTAAAACAGAGCCTTTTGTGTGTTGTTGTCCCCCCCCCCCAGTCACCCACAGCTCCACATCTGAGCTGCTGATTTCATTTTCCTTTGATCCCTCCAGAGTCGCTAAATTTCTTACGTAAACATGAGAGCCAGATAGTCCCCATGGGCCCCCTGGCTGCAGACTCGGGCCCCCAGGGATCACAGCAGTGCCGTGAGTTTCTGTTCTTACTTCCTGGCCGCCTTTAGTGCTCACTCACTGGCTCATGATCGGTGCCTATAAGCATGTGCAGTGTGAGGCTGTTGGATATACGTGCCATAATCGGGGGGGGGGGGGCTGGGCTTGTCAGAGCATCAACGGGAAACTCAGCATCCTCTCTGGTCAGATTTACACCCCTAGTCAGTCCCTCTTAATGCCCCCCTGTTTCTTCTATAAACAGATTTCGATGACCCAACTTAACATGGGTTTAGGGCGCCACCTGGAGGCCAATCCCCTAGGTAGCCATCACCATGCATGCTGCTTTGAACTAGATGGCAATGAAGGAACAGCTTAGATATGTGACATAGACAGACAGAGCAATTTGTAATAGTATATTTAAATTTGAGAAGCACTTTCAATTTAATGGCAGCAATTGTTGCAAGTGTTGCGTTAGCAAACTACTGATAGGAACAAATGAGCCACCAAGAGAAGGTGTTCATTTCGCAGAATCCTGTCCTTGTGGTTTTTCTGTTGAAACTTTAGATGCTATCAAAGACTGTTCTTTTCTGCATTTTCTACACAAACAACCCCCCTCCCCCCAGTGACAATTGTTAGCGTGACGTAAGTTTTACGAATGTTTCAGGGTCAGGGGGCTTGGGGAACTGGGTAAGCCTCAAAAG